GAGAATCGAAGGTCCATATCAGTAGATAGTGAAATCACGATAAGAATTAAGTTCCAAAAACAGAAATTTTAATATGACGCTAAAAAAAAAACCCAGAAAATTTAATGTAAGAAAGACACGTGTCACTACTCAACCCTACATTTAAAGAGAGAGCTTTTTCTTCTTCGTTTTTTCTATGCTCTCTAAACTATCTTCTCTTGTCTCCTCTTCGGATAATCCTATCCTTCTCTCCCTATAAATACCTCTCCACTCTTCCTCTTCCTCCACCATCACAACCACCGGAAAACAATCACCGGAAAAAACCCCTTCTCACACAAAGTGTTCTTTTTCTTTGTCTACTTCTGATCATAAATATGGTCGGTCACAAAATGGAGAAATCTGCCAACGGTGTGGCGGCGCTGGAGACGCAGACGGCTGAGTTGGATCAGCCGGCTCAGCTCCGAAAGATCATATCGGTGGCTTCGATAGCCGCCGGTGTACAGTTCGGTTGGGCTTTACAATTATCTCTATTGACACCATACGTGCAGCTACTCGGAATCCCACATAAATGGGCTTCTCTGATTTGGCTATGTGGTCCAGTCTCCGGTATGCTTGTTCAGCCCATCGTGGGCTACTACAGTGACTGTTGCACCTCTAGATTCGGCCGTCGTCGTCCTTTCATCATCGCCGGAGCCTGTTTAGTCACCGTTGCTGTTTTCCTTATCGGTTACGCCGCCGATATAGGTCACAGCATGGGTGATAAGCTCAACAAACCGCCTAGAACGCGAGCTATCGGGATTTTCGCTCTCGGGTTCTGGATTCTAGACGTGGCTAACAACACCTTACAAGGACCATGCCGAGCCTTTTTGGCTGATTTATCCGCGGGGAACGCCAAGAAAACGAGGACCGCAAACGCGTTTTTCTCGTTTTTCATGGCGGTTGGAAACGTTTTGGGTTACGCGGCGGGATCTTACAGGAACCTCTACAAAGTTGTCCCTTTCACCATGACCGAGTCGTGCGATCTTTACTGCGCGAACCTCAAAACGTGTTTTTTCCTCTCCATAACGCTTCTCCTCTTAGTCACCGTCGTTTCTCTATGTTACGTGGAGGAGAAGCAATGGTTCCCGGAGCCAACCGCGGACGGGAAAACCTCGAGCGTTCCGTTTTTCGGAGAGATTTTAGGTGCTTTCAAGGAATTGAAAAGACCGATGTGGATGCTTCTCATAGTCACTGCACTAAACTGGATCGCTTGGTTCCCTTTCCTCCTCTTCGACACTGATTGGATGGGTCGTGAGGTGTACGGAGGAAACTCAGACGCAACTGCAACCGCAACCGCTAAAAAGCTTTACAACGACGGAGTCCGAGCTGGTGCGTTAGGGCTTATGCTCAACGCGATTGTTCTTGGTTTCATGTCTCTCGGTGTTGAATGGATTGGTCGGAAAATAGGAGGAGCCAAAAGGCTTTGGGGAGTTGTTAACTTCATACTCGCCATTTGCTTGGCCATGACGGTTGTCGTCACGAAACAGGCGGAGAATCACCGGCGAGATCACGGCGGAGCTAAAACAGGACCGCCTGGTAGCGTCACTGCCGGTGCTTTAACTCTCTTTGCTGTTCTCGGTATTCCTCAAGCTGTAAG